GCGCGCGGCGTTCCTCCGCGCCAGGGGCCTCGCGCGCGCGGGCCAGGGCCTCGCGCGGCGCCGGTCCGCGCGCCGCGTCGCCGCGGCGCGGCGCCTCGTCCGCGCGGCGACGGCCGCGGCCGCGGCGCGGCGCGGCGCCGTCGCGCGCGCGCGCTTCGCGCGGTTTCGCGGCGCCGCGGTCGCGATCCAGTGCGCGGCGCGGCGCCGCGGCGCGGTCGGCGCCGTCGCGGCCCTCGCCGCCGAGGCCGAGGAGCGGGCCCGGCTCGAGTTTCAGCTCGAGGCGCTCCGCGCGCGGCTCGACGCCGAGGCCTCCGCGCGCGCGGACGCCGAGGCCGCCGCGGCGGAGCTCCGGAGCGCGATGGCGTCGCCGGAGCGCCGCGCCGCCGCGCCCCAGACCGGGGACCCCCGCGTCGACGGCGCCCTCGTCGACGAGAGCAAGCGCATGCTCGACTACCTCCGGGCCGAGGTCTCGCGGCTCGACCGCGCGCGCGACGGCCTCGAGCGCGAGAACCACCGGCTCCGCGTCGCCAACGACCGCGTCCAGCAGGCCCACGGCGCGGCCCACGAGTCCTTCGCGGCGCTCAACTCCCACATCAAGCGCCTCGGCCGGACCGTGGTCGCGCTGAAGCGCGACGCGCGCGACCTCCGCCAGGCGAACGGCGTCTTCAAGGACGAGCTCGCCATGAAGCAGGCCATCTACGTCGCCGAGGTCGCCAAGGGCCTGCGGCTCGAGCAGCTCATGCGCACCATGGTCGACGTCTGCGACGTCCGCGGCGCGGACCCGGACCTCGTCGCCGAGCTCCGCGCGATGGCGGACGCGCGCGCGCTCCACGACGGCGGCGTCCGCGACGCGGAGGTCGCCGCCGGCGGCGAGGAGGCGGCGCAGCCGGGCTTCTGGGGGCGGCTCATCGGGCGGGGGTCCTAAGGGTGTGTCAAGCAGGTCCCCGCGCGCCCCCCTTAAGCGAGCTACACAAAACGCCGAGGGCGACGTGCGTTTCGGGCATGGGGCGCGCCGTCGAAGAATGAGTCAGGTGCGCTCTCGGTGCACTTCGCGGTGCCGGCGTCCCGCCCCTGGGCGCCCAGCGGTCGCCTGATTAGAGCTAAAGCAATCTCGGGTGAAATTTGGGACCTGCGACCCATCTAAGACCCATCACACAAGCGTAAGGTCGACGACGCCGTAGTGGTCCTGCTCGCGGACGGCGAGGCCGGCGACGCCCGCCGGCGGCGCGTCGACGACGTGGACGCGGTCGTGGGCGCGGTCTCCGAACGCGCGGGCGCCGTCGGCGCCGCCGGCGAAGAGCAGGCGGACGTCGACGACGCCGTGGCCGCCGCGCTCGTAGACCTCGAGCGCGCGGATCCGGCCGGTCACCGGGAGTACGACGATTCGGGTGGAGCGGCCGTTCTTCGTGGCGAGGAGCGGCGCGCCTCCCGCGCGCGCGCGGACGCCGACGTCGACGACGCCGTAGTATCCGCCGTCGGCGTCCTGCTCGTGGACGACGAGCGCGGCGGCGTCGGCGGCGCGGACCCGGTACTCCCGGGTCGCGTCGGCGTTCGCCGTCGCCCAGCCGCGGGCGTCCGGGCGCGCCGCGTGCCAGCCGCGGGCCGCGTCGCCGTCGGCGACGATGCGCGCGCAGAGGCGCCGCCCCTCGGCGTCCAAACCGTCGTAGACGGCGCGCGGCATCGTCGCCGCGAAGGGGAAGCGCGCGGCGTGCTCCTCCGACGCGTACTCGACGTTGGGTAGCGCCCTCAGCTCGTCCTCCGTGACGTTGGGCGTGCCGCCGTGCCACGCGCGGAGGTCGCGGACGACGGCGGCGCCGGCGGGCAGGCGGCCGCCGACGAGGAGCGTCGACGACCGGAAGGCGGCGCTCTCGTCGGCCGGCGCCGGCGCGTCGGCCGCCGCGGTCCGGTGCGTGGAGAAGCCCGCGACGGCGCGCGTGATCTGGCGCGTCGGCCCGTTGAGCCGGTGGAAGTCCTGCACGACGAAATTCACGGCGACGGCCGGCGCGACGGCCGCGTCCCAGTTGTTCGCCTCGCCGACGATGTCGGAATGGAGGTCTTGGTACGAGACGGCGCCCGCGGCCGTGAGCTCGCCGCCCATGCCCGTGCAGACGTACCCGTCGCCGAGGCACGCGGCGAGGACGGGCGCGACGGTCGCCGGCAGGTGCGCGAGCGCCGCCCAGGCGGGCTCGTGGCACAGGTGCCGCGAGAGCGACGCGGCGCCGAGCGACCAGCGGTGGGAGCCGCGGTTCCCGCCGGGGAGCGCGCCGCAGACGACCGGCGCGACGGCCGCGACGCCGCGCCGGACGTCCGCGAGGCGCGCGGCGTCGAGCGCGCCCAGGAGGACGACGCAGCCGTCGCGCTCGAACAGCGCCTTGGCGCGCGCGACGTTGTACGGTCGCGTTAGCGCCTCGAGCCCCGGCGACCCGTTGTTGTGCACGTACAGCTGCTCGCGCAGCGCCCGCGTCGCGGCGTCGTCGAACTTGGCGGTGCCGGTCCAGCAGAGGTCCGGCCGCCGCAGCACCCAGGGCGCCTCTTCGTCGTCGCTGCCCGTCAAGTCTATTAGCTTGGGCTTCTTCGTCGCGGGCATGGTTGCTGCCTCGCTCGGAAGGCTCGACATCGGGGCGCACTAAGGCCGAGGGTCGAAGCGGCCTCTGAGTTCACGGTGAAGAACACTTGAGTCATGGTTGCTGCCTCGTTCATAGAGCGACTCAATGTGGCCTCGGTGACCTTCACGTGAGGAACACCCGAGTCTGCCTATTCACGGAAGCCTCGCAACGACCGACGCGTTCGACGGCGGGGGCGCGCAGGAGAACCGCCGCTTAGGACAATGCACGGCGCGCCCTCCCGAGTCCCCCACCCTAGAACTGGGAGAGCGTCGCGTCGGCGAGCGCGTGGAGCTTGAGCTTGGCCTGGTCCTGCTCGAGGCCGTTGCCGAGGTCCCGCGGCGGGAGCCGCGCGTCGAGGAGCGCGAGGGCCGTCTCCTCGTGCGTGCCCTCGACGGCGAGGACGGCGACGCGGACCTCCCGCGTCTGCCCGAGGCGGTGCGCGCGGCCGACGGCCTGCTTGTACGCGCTCGCGTCGAGGCACGGCTCGAAGAAGACGACGAGCGCCGCGGCCGTGAGGTTCAGGCCGACGCCGCCCGCGCCGAGCGTCGCCACGAGCGCGGCGACGCGGCCGGCCTGGAGCGCGCGCGACGGCGCGCTCGCGCTTCGGCCGGGGCGTGGCGCCCGTGAACGACGCGACGGCGACGCCCGCGGCCTCGAGGCCCCGGGCGACGCGCGCGACGCTGTCGTAGCTCGCGCAGAAGACGAGCGCCGGCGCGTCGCGGCCCGCGAGCAGCTCGACGACCTTGGCGACCTTGGCGTCGGCGAGGGACGCGTCCGCGGGCGGCTCGGGCGCCGGCGGCGCGCGGTTGCGGTCGCGCGCGCGGCGCCGGTGGTCGAGGACGAAGTTGCGGACGCTCGGGTGCCAGCGGCCCTGGTTGGGCACCTCCAGCACGTCCGGCCCGAGGTCGAGGACGTCCTCGGCCGCGAAGCGTACAGAGCACGCGGGGCACGGCACGGACGCGACCGTGTGCTTCGACCGGAGCACGCGGATCGTCGCGTCGTCGCCGAAGCCGCCCCCGGGGAAGACGTCCGCGGCCCGGGACCCGTCGAGCGCCGCCGCCGCGGCGTCCTCGGCCTCCTTCGTGACGAGGCGGCAGGTCGCGTAGGGCTCGCGCTCCAGGGACACGTGGAAGCGGACGTCCATCGTCGACCTGGCCGCGTACGGCCGGAAGAGCGACGTGAGCCGCTCCGTGGCCCGGCGGCGGCCCCGGTCGCCGTGGAGGTCCGACGGGAGCGCGCCGCGGACGTAGAGGTAGGGCCGCTCGCGGACGACGTCGTCCGCGAGCCGCTCGCCCTCGGGCACCTCGTGGGCGACGCCCTCGGGCGTGTCGCTCGTCGACTTGGCGCCCGCGAAGAGGTCCTCGACGCACTGGCCGCAGTTGAGGTGGCCGCAGGTCCTGGCCGCGCGCGGCGCGAGGCCCGCGCAGGGCTTGAGGCAGCAGACGCAGCGCCGCTCGCCGCCGCGCTGCACGAGGCCCTCGTCGAGCGCGCGCCGGAACGTCTGCAGGTCCTGCGACGCGACGCAGGCCGCGTCGGCGTCGGCGTCCTCGCGGTCCGGGAACGCGACGCGGATCGACTCGACGTTGGAGCAGCCGGCGACGGAGTCGTGGCGCGACCGCGCGGCGCCGTCGACGCCGCCGCAGAGCGCCGCGAGGGGCTCGAGCGCGTGCGCGGCCGCCGCGAGCCGGCGGCTCGGGTCCTCGCCGGCGTCGCGCCGGCGCCGCTGCTCCGCGGCGAGCGCCGCGTAGGCGCCGAGGGGCGCGCGGACGACGACGTCCTCGCGCGGCCGCAGCGCCGGCAGGCTCACGAGCCGCGCGCCGTCGCGCTCGCTCGACTTGGAGTGGCGCACGACGAGCGGCTTGAGCATGGAGCACACGATCTCCGCCGTCGAGTTGTACGCGCTCGGGAAGTTGTTGCTCAGGATGCACCGAAAGTAGTTCACGGGCAGCACGCGCGGCACGAGGCCCAGGAACGTCAGCTGCCCGAAGACGTCGAAGAGGCCGTTGCCAAAGGGCGTGCCCGTGACGCACCAGCGGTTGGGCGCGCGGACGTGCGCGCAGGCCTCGACCGCGGGGCTCGCGTCGACGCGGCACGTCCGGGCCCGCGCGGTCAGCGCCGCGTGCGGCTCGTCGAGGACGCAGCGCCAGAACGCCGCGCCGGAGCCCGCGCAGGACGCCGCGTCGCCGTAGGCGCACAGGACGAAGTCCGCGCTCCGGAGCCGCTTCGCCCGGAGCCCCTCGGCCGCGTCCCACTCGACGACGGTCGCGTCCGGGCACCGGCTCGCGAGCTCGGCCCTCCACTGGCCCAGGAGCGCCGGCGGCGAGATCACGAGCGTCGCCTTGAGCGCGTCGCGCGACGCCCAGGCCTCGGGCGCCGGGTGGAGCAGCGCGAGCGCCATGACCTCGATGGACTTGCCGAGGCCCATCTCCTCGGCGAGGATGCCGCCCCTGTGCGTCGCGCCGAGCACGGCGGAGTCGCGCACGAAGGCCGTCTTCACGTCCGCCAGCGCGCGCTGCGCGGCCATCTCCTCCGGGCAGGGGCCCTTCCGGGGCCAGTCCCGCCGGAACCGCGGCGCGGGCAGCGACACGGCCGCGACGTGCTCGGACACGCGCGAGCAGAAGAGGTCCTCGATGGACGACGCGCCTACCAAAAGTGCCGGTACATATGTTTCGTCGTCTTCCCGGCCGAAATCTCTCGAAATTCGTCATGACCAGACGCTGCGAAGCGCCCGTCTCGCGCGCGACGAGCCACGTCACCGTCTCGATCTGGTAGTCCGTCAGCGTCACCGCGAGGCCTCGCACCGCGGCGTCGACGGCCGGACCGCGCGTGCCCTCGGTCTCGAGCGCGTCCAGCAGGCCGTCGCAGGTCCGCAGAGCCTCGTGGCCCGCGCGTCGGGCGCGCGGCGGCAGGCACAGGCCCCGCGTCTTCAGATCCACGGCGACGGCGTCGCCGCGCGCGGCGAGGACGGCCCCGACGGCGCCGGCGAGGCCGGCGACGCCGTCGCCGTAGTGGCCGCCGCGGTCGCCCAGAGCGGCCGCGCGGACGCGGACGGCCACGTCCAGGTCGACGCGGACCTCGCCGCCGAGGGGCTCGAGCGCGCGCGCCGTCGCGCGGACGTCGAGCGCGTTCGCGTCCCGCGCCGCGGCGGCGAGCGCCGCGAGCTCCGGGCACGCGGCTTCGAGCGCCGCGAGGGGGACGGGGCACCCGACCTCGAAGCCCGCGGCGTCGGCGACGACGCCCGACGCTCGGAGCACGGTCCACGCGCCCTCCAGCGCGGGCGCCCGCGTCGCGTCGGGCCAGACGCGGGCCTCGTAAAGGCGCTCCGCGGCCGCGCGGTCCGTCGCCGCCTCCTCGGCCCGGCAGAGCGCCTCGACCTTAACGAGGACCTCGTCCGACGCGGCCTCGGGGCTGAAGACGTCGGCCGCGGGCGCGCCGACCCAGGCGTCGGCGTCGATGACCTCGCCCGCGGCCTCGGCGGCGGCGAACGCCGCCGCGCGCGCGGCCTCCGGCGCGACGACGAGCGACGGTTCCAGCGGCTGCGAATCGCGCGGCTCCGCGGCGGCCTTGAGCTCCGGCGACGCCGCGAGCTCCTCCGGCGTCACGAACGTCTCGTTCTTGCGGCGCTTCGCCGCCGGCGTCCGCCCTGCAGCATCCGCGGCCAAGGCCCCGCCTGGCGCGTTTTCCTTGCCGCCTTCGAGCTTGACGCGCTTCCGGCTGGAGACGTAGTCCTCGAGCGACCCGAGTTCGTCCATGTCGATTGTCAACAGCACCGATCAGCGGCCACCGACGAGACGGTTGTCGGAGAGCTCCCAACTCGAATTTAGCATTGAGCCTACTTCACCTTGATGGAAACAACGGCCTCCGAGGCCTCGACGCACACCCTTACCCTTCGCGCCTCAGTCCGAGTCGTCCCAGTCGCCGCCGTCCTCGGAGTCGCCCTCGTCGCCGCCGCCGCCGCGCCAGGGCGGGGGCGCGAGCATCTTGTTGAGCGCGTGGTTCTCGGTGTCGAAGAGGGAGCCGCGCCGCGGCTGCGGCGCCGCGGGCGGCGGGGGCCGCGCCGCCGGTTGCGCGACGGGCGTGGGCGGCTTCGGCGGCGGCGGCCGGACCTCGGGCGCGGCGTCGAAGTCGGAGTCGTCGGAGCCCGCGTCGTCGTCGAGCTTCGCAAAGGCCCTCGCCGGCGCGACGGGCGGCCGCGGCGGCGCGGGCCGCGGCGGCGGCGCGGGCCGCTCCGCCGCCGCGTGGGCGCCGGGCTCCGCGCCGCCCGTGAGCGCGGACTGGCGCCGCTTCATGCGCGCGCGCATCTCGTCGAGCATCGACAGCGGCGCGTCGGGCGCCTCGCCGACGACTTCTTCTTCTCCGCGGCGGCGGACTCCTCCTCCTGCTTCTTGAGGTCG